AAACATTAGTAAATTTTATTGATGATTTTAAAAAACAACGAACAAACAACAAACATTTTTCAAACTGAAATCTCTGCACAGATAAACATTGTGTGCGACGCCAAGAGCTTGAGATCCCATGCTAACATGATCTACATGGCTGGAGTCCTTGTCGGATCATTCGTATTCGGTCTGGTGTCAGACAAGTATTGACGTGTTTATGTTGTATGCTCTAAATCAGTGGTTCTCAAAATATTTTCCAGCATCCCCTAGACGCGCCCGCCCCCCTCCCCTTCCCTGATTTACCCCCAAAGTAATCATTCCTAGAATAAAATTTTGGAAGAACCTATATGGTAGGCTATTACAGAATTAGCTGTTTAAGTGTCCATATAAAATCTTAAATTGTAATTTTACAAAATGTGTTATTTAAATGATTGATTTCTCAAATAATCATTATAGCTTGTATAATCTTATTGAAATTTAAATTGATTCGGCTCCTGTCAAATAAAAATAATACGAGTTTACTATCAATATTTTTGAGAATCCCAAGTAGGAAATAGGAATTTTATGTTGAACGTAAGCTTGCCGTCTGTGTTGGTGCAGTGATTGGGAATTGTGTTTCGCTCGCTACAGTATTTATCTAAACATCAGCTTCATTAGTCTTTAACCAAAAGCTCAACATTCTTAAATTGCATTTGCAAATCATTTTTAAAAAAATATTTATCTTCATATTGAAATCAATTGATCTCAATTTTTTTGAAAATTCGCCCCAACCATTGTTGTTTAAAGACCATATGCCGCCCCCCCCCCCTTCCTGTAAAAAAAAATATAAGCTGCAAAACATTACATTAGCTCATAACCATCATCTTCATGTCCCTTAGTACTTTGACCGTTGGAGCGCCACAGATGACATGTGAACTATCCTTTTCCATTCGTCTCTGTTTTCAGCACATCGCACAGCATCGCCTAGTTTTAGTCCTGTCCACTCTTGATGTTATCCTCCCCTCTTTTCTCCGTCTTCTTCTTCTCCTCTCGTTGTGCCCTGCATGATTTCTTTGGCGACTTAATCTTTTTTTTTTTTCAAGTTGACAAATGAATACAATAGAGATGCAACACAAAAAGAAACACATTCTTGCATTCAAAAATATATTAGACTCTTTTTAAAGGTAATACTTATTTAATTTTGTTTAAATTCATTGTGTTGTAATGAAGAGAAACTGCCAGAATTGGCCAACAAGTATTCTCCGTACATTTCAGAATAGGTCGAAAGAAAGCCATCCTGATGTCGCTGGTCTTCCACTCGGTGGCCGCCATTTGTACAGCTTTCTCACCCAACTTTCCGGTCTTCGCGTTTCTGAGATTTGTCACGGGGTTGGGGGACGTGGGTCTGTTTATGTGCTGCTTTGTGCTGGGTAAGTGGGTCTGTTGGTGTGCTGCTTTGTGCTGGGTAAGTGGGTCTGTTTATGTGCTGCTTTGTGCTGGGTAAGTGGGTCTGTTTGTGTGCTGCTTTGTGCTGGGTAAGTGGGTCTGTTTATGTGCTGCTTTGTGCTGGGTAAGTGGGTCTGTTTATGTGCTGCTTTGTGCTGGGTAAGTGGGTCTGTTTATGTGCTGCTTTGTGCTGGGTAAGTGGGTCTGTTTATGTGCTGCTTTGTGCTGGGTAAGTGGGTCTGTTTGTGTGCTGCTTTGTGCTGGGTAAGTGGGTCTGTTTGTGTGCTGCTTTGTGCTGGGTAAGTGGGTCTGTTTGTGTGCTGCTTTGTGCTGGGTAAGTGGGTCTCTTTGTGTGCTGCTTTGTGCTGGGTAAGTGGGTCTGTTTATGTGCTGCTTTGTGCTGGGTAAGTGGGTCTGTTTGTGTGCTGCTTTGTGCTGGGTAAGTGGGTCTGTTTGTGTGCTGCTTTGCTCTGGGTAAGTGGGTCTGTTTGTGTGCTGCTTTGTGCTGGGTAAGTGGGTATGTTTGTGTGCTGCTTTGTGCTGGGTAAGTGGGTCTGTTTATGTGCTGCTTTTTGCAGGGTAAGTGGGTCTCTTTGTGTGCTGCCTTGTGCCGGGTAAGTGGGTCTGTTTGTGTGCTGATTTGTGCTGGGTAAATGGGTCGCTTTATGTGCTGCTTTGTGCTGGGTAAGTATTTCCATATTGCTGATTAAAAGTGCCATTATAACAAGCGGTTCTCCGAACTCCACAAAAGAATTATATTAGGTCCTGTTCCCTCCACCCAATAGATCAAAGGTAGGTAACTGCGAAAATGAGACAGTCGGGATAATTTTTCAGGTTACTGCCCATGCAAAGAAATATTTGTGAAAAATCTACAGTTGAACAACTTGACATTCAAATTCAAATGTATTTTTTTTTTGAAAATTATATTCACAGTATATTATATTCAGAGTGAATTATATTAACAATTGACTGTATCGACAATTAATTATATTTGCAGTAATAATTTCATACATATTTATTATTATTTTTTTTAACAAACTCAGCCATGGAATTGGTGGGCCGGAAATGGCGGGCCCAAGCTGGAGTGGCGATCCAGTACTTCTGGTGTGCCGGGATGTTTGTCCTCGTCGGGATGGCGTACGGCATCCGGGACTGGAAAGTGCTTCAGGTTGTACCGTCTTGTTGTACAGTGGTGATCTTCTTACTGTGGTGGTCAGTACACCCAATGCTTAATGTCTGCGTCCGTATCATGGCGGAGCTAACAGCATGCGACGCAACGAGACAATAGTGTGTCTTATTTTACTGCTTAAGGCGAAGTACTTATCATAATGTTATTGAAATACACATCGTATCTAAAAATAAATGCTCTGCGATACTTTCAAGGGTTCGGCAAAGGTTCTTAAATTTATTAACAACAAATAATGTCCTACATAGTGATTACATAAAAGAAATTTAGGATGCACGGTAAAAATGTAGGCCTATTATTTTGTTAAGTATTTGCATCAAGTTTTATTTATTTATTTTTTTTTTAAGTTTCATTTTGAGAGAGGGCGGATTTCAGATTTGTAACAATTTTTTTTTAGTTGTAGAGAACATACGAAAAGAGTGGCAGTACTAGCTTTAGCTTTATTGAAAAAATATAATCAGTTTAGTAACTATGTGATAGGCAGTCTCTCTACCCTCCTTCAAGCATCCCTCACTCCGCATATCTATTTCTCGCTCTTTCTGTTTTCTTAAATTTGTAAGCAGCGCAATGAGACTTAACCAGTAGTTACTGTTCCTGTTACTGTTCCTGTTACTGTTCCTGTTACTGTTCCTGTTACTGTTCCTGTTACTGTTCCTGTTACTGTTCCTGTTACTGTTCCTGTTACTGTTCCTGTTACTGTTCCTGTTTTTTTGTTTCTTTTAAATTTCACATCAACATATGTGTTTTCAAAATAAATTGTTGAAGTCTTTCAGATTTCGACAGACAATATACTATGTGTGTTTTGCTACAAATGATCTAGGTTCATCCCGGAGTCCCCCAGGTGGTTGCTGAGCAAAGGTCGCGAGGAGGAGGCCAGAGCCATCCTAGAAAAGATCGCCACGGCCAACAGGAAGGAGTTGCCGAAGTACATCTTCGACAGCGAGGGCGAGTCCCAGGACAAGGGGACTTTGATGGACGTGTTCTCCCATCCTGTGCTGGCCTTCAGGGCTGTTATCATCTTTACCAATTGGTGAGTGCAGGAATCACGTCAGTGACATCATATTGCAGGTCACATAATTTAACTATAAATGACACATATATTTTTAAAATATTTATTAACATAATGGTTTCACCACACATATATAATTTTGAATCCTTCAAAACCGATTTGAAAACACATCTATTTCGCAAACACGTGATGTTGTCCACCATCTTTTCCAGCTAGCTATTATCTCCTAGATGTATATTGGCCTGTGTTGTTGATAGTTGAAAGGGATGAAAGACTCTGACTGGGTTTGGCTCGTTTGTAGTTGTTGTAGTTGTTGTAGTTGTTGCGTTTTGTGTTTCAATGTGGTAAACTATAGATTGTTTCAGTTCTCTTTGAATATGGCCGACTTTGTGCCGCGCTTCGAGCCTTGGGGATGAAGCGTGCATTTTATAAATAAACTTTATTCTTATTACTATTATATGTATATATATTTATATGTATTGATGTTCATTTGTTAAAGTTCGCTCAACCTGAGATATTCTAGAAGAGCGCTGGGCAATCCTATCGCAAAACGAAACGTGGTGCGAACGTAAATATGAAGCTAACCCACAAGTTGCACTAATTGACCTCTAAACGTCGGCCGTGTTTTGTTTGGCCTTAATGATTTTAAAAAAAAAACAATTTAAAACATACATGAACAACTTTAAAAAAAAAAAAAAAAACACACTTATTTGGAAGCTAAACCACAAGTTGCACTAATTTACCTCTAAACGTCGGCCGTGTTTTGTTTGGCCTTAATGATTTTAAAAAAAAAACAATTTAAAACATACATGAACAACTTTAAAAAAAAAAAAAAAAACACACTTATTTGGACACTTTTAGCTGTCCAAACGGGCCATCAAAGATGGCGGCGTGACAGACGTGCGATTCTGGTAAATTGGTTTTACTTCCTTAATAAAAGCAAAAATTAAAGTAATTTTCATATTTTTTAATCATTTTTTTTTTTATTTTATTTTTTAAATTTTGAATCACACAGAAGGTTTCTGAGCTCCTTTATTGTCAAAATCATGCACGACTCACCTGACTTTCAGACCAAATGTTTCATTTATTCAAATTGAAAAAACAAAAATTGTGAACTTCCGACACGTGGCCTTTGCCACCGAAACAGTGGATCACCAACTCTTTGTTTGCCACCGAAACAGTGGACCACCTGCTCATTATTTGCCACCGAAACAGTGGACCACCTGCTCTTTGTCCGCCACCGAAACAGTGGACCACCTGCTCTTTGTTTGCCACTGAAACAGTGGACCACCTGCTCTTTGTCTGCCACCGAAACAGTGGACCACCTGCTCTTTGTCTCCCACCGAAACAGTGGACCACCTACAGTGGACCAGCTGCTCTTTGTCTGCCACCGAAACAGTGGACCACCTGCTCTTTGTCTGCCACCGAAATAGTGGACCACCTGCTCTTTGTCTGCCACCGAAACAGTGGACCACCTGCTCTTTGTTTGCCACCGAAACAGTGGACCACCTGCTCTTTGTTTGCCACCGAAACAGTGGACCAGCTGCTCTTTATTTGCCCTGAAATTGAGGTGGGCTGTGAATTGAACCAAGCCGGTGACCTGTGTTCATGATCTGATTAATGGCGATGACGGCTTGATGACTGCACGTTGTAAAAAATCTGGCCAGGGGTCATGGAGAGTCTAGGCTCGATCCTCGATTTATGATATCGATTTTTGAAAGGAATTTAGTTGCTAGTTTAGTTGTTGTTTATTAGAACTAGGGCTGCTCTAGCAGGTATCACACACAGTAGTGATAGGTACGATGGTGGAGCTAGGGCTGCTCTAGCAGGTATCACACACAGTAGTGATAGGTACGATGGTGGAGGTAGGGCTGCTCTAGCAGGTATCACACACAGTAGTGATAGGAACGATGGTGGAGGTAGGGCTGCTCTAGCAGGCATCACACACAGTAGTGATAGGTACGATGGTGGAGGCAGGGCAGCTCTAGCAGGCATCACACACAGTAGTGATAGGTACGATGGTGGAGGTAGGGCTGCTCTTGCAGGCATCACACACAGTAGTGATATGTACGATGGTTGAGGCTGGGCTGCTCTAGCAGGCATCACACACAGTAGTGATAGGTACGATGGTGGAGGTAGGGCTGCTCTAGCAGGCATCACACACAGTAGTGATAGGTACGATGGTGGAGCTACCTACCTAATGCTCTAGCAGGCATCACACACAGTAGTGATAGGTACGATGGTGGAGGTAGGGCTGCTCTAGCAGGCATCACACACAGTAGTGATAGGTACGATGGTGGAGCTACCTACCCAATGCTCTAGCAGGCATCACACACAGTAGTGATAGGTACGATGGTGGAGCTACCTACCTAATGCTAGAGGCACAGATGAGATGTGCGTAATTACACGAATGGAGCAAACTTTTTGTTCAACCTGTTGATGACAAGGAAGGTGTCTAGTTTCACACTTAATTTTGATTTAAACACACTAGAAAAACGTATTTCTTCATATCCATTCTATTTAGTAATAGTATTTCATGACTCACACCTACCAAGTAGTGTGACAAAATGTATTGTCATTTGTCAAGGATAAGACTTTTATTAATATATGGTTGCCCACTATACTCTAGAATGATCTATATTAATGTCTTGAAAATCACGCACAAACCAATCTTGAGTGGCAGCTCATGAATTAATGAAACACAAGCTGATTGTAACACTACTTAACCACTTGTCTCGCCCCATTCCCCCCCCCCCGCCCCTAGGTTAGTTGTGACAGTTGTGTACTACGGCCTGACCTTCAATATCGGTACTCTCGGTGGAGACATCTACGTGAACTTTGCCCTGAACGCCAGCGTTGTCAAACCAATCTTGAGGGGCAGCTCATGAATTAATGAAACCCAAGCTGATTGTAACCCTACTTAACCCCTTGTCTCGCCCCCTTCCCCCCCCCCCGCCCCTAGGTTAGTTGTGACAGTTGTGTACTACGGCCTGACCTTCAATATCGGTACTCTCGGTGGAGACATCTACGTGAACTTTGCCCTGAACGCCAGCGTTGAGACCCTGGGGAACGTGGCCGCCTTTCTGGTGTTGCCTCGATGGGGCAGGAAACGGTTCCACTGCTTCGCCGTTCTGCTGAGTGGCCTGGCGTGCCTCTGTTCGATGATACCGGTGCTGCTGGGGATCACAGGTAGGTGGGGAAGGGGGGAGCCGCAGGCGGGAGGGGAACACAGGGGGGAGGGTACCACAGGTGGGAAGGGACCACAAGTGGGAGGGGATTACAGGTCAACTGGGACCACGTGTTGGAGACGATACCAGACAGGAGATGAGACGTAGGTGGGTGGGGAACACAGGTAGGTGGGAAAAACAGGTAGGGGGCGACCACAAGTGGGTGGGGAAAACAGGTAGGGGGCGACCACAAGTACGTGGGGAAAACAGGTAGGGGCGACCACAGGTAGGTGGCGACCACAGGTAGGTGGCGACCACAGGTAGGTGGCGACCACAGGTAGGCGAAGATCTTTAGGAGATGAATACAGTTAGGAGGGGACCTCAGCTAGGAGAGGACCACAGGCACAGGGGGGGGGGGCACAGGCCGTGGCATAGTAAAAGTTATTGCCACCCCTTCAGTGGGCCGAGGAGAAAACAAACTGTGGTTTGCCGAAAATCAAGCCCCTCCATAAAAAGAAAAAAAAAAGTGCTGTCTTGGTGGAGCGCCCCCTCTGCACCCCCACTCCCTACACCACTGGCCACTGGTGGAAGGAGACTACATTTGGCTGAAACCCACAGATAGGATGGGGGACTACAGGTTAAAGGGGTTCACAGGAGGGGGTCGCAGGTTAATGCGACTAGAGGTTAAAGGGGTCCACAGGAGGGGGTCATCAGGCTGGATGCGACTACAGGTTAAAGGGGTTCTCAGCAGGGGGTCATCAGGCTGGATGCGACTACAGGTTAAAGGGGTTCACAGGAGGGGGTCATCAGGCAGGATGCCATTACCGGCGGGCGGGACGCTATGTGGGCCAACTGCTTTATTATTCATTTGTTAACATCTTTTTATAGTCTTGGAAAAATAATGCGTTTTGAACGGGAGCGCAACTGAGATGGATAGAGCCAACAAATACAGTGGGGCCGCTTGATGGAATGGCGTCCGTAGGGAAGCTTAGACCAGGGCGTGCGATCAATATAGAGCAGCCAGTGATAAGGTTAACAGTGGGATGCCCGTTAACTGATTTAATTAGCGTTGGCTAAAAAAAGGAATAGAGCTTTGTTTAAGTCCAGCAATAAGCCAAGGCCACACATGTAGAAATATAATGATCGAAGGTGTCACACAACACGCTAATGTGGGAGAAAGACATCGCTGGTGTCACGTGATGAGTTCACACAGTGTATCAAATAACGTCATAAACAATATTTTGAAAACACTCTAATCAAAAATGAAGAAAGATTTTATAATAAAGTTGAGTGGATTCTTTAAGCGATGCACTTTATGAATCAAAGGGATTCTAACGCGATGCGGACGAAACTTAAATGTTATATTCTTATTATTTAAATATATATATATATATATATACATATTTTCTGCACATATTTTCTTTATGTTTTCAAATTTTAAGAAAGTCTATGTCTACGTTTTAGTAGTATAAAACTTGTCTTTGATAGAACGTATTTTTTTTTAAAATTTTGTAAGTATCTTCTTTTGTATGTGCTTAATTTTAGCATTAAAATTGTAACTTGAATATCATCGACAAAAGAAGTATTAGATCTATTTAACTTTTTTGTGTGTTAAATATGTATGGTTTTATTGTAAATGTAATCATAAGTTTATTCCCTGTACAGACGCATGGATGACCATTAGTTTGTTCCCTGTACAGTGTACAGATGTATGTAATCATCAGTTTGTTCCCTGTACAGATGTATGGGTGACCATTAGATTGTTCCCTGTACAGATGTATGGGTGACCATTATTTTGTTCCCTGGCCAGTGTACAGATGTATGTAATCATCAGTTTGTTCTCCTGCACAGACGTATGGGTGACCATTAGTTTGTTCCCTGTACAGACGTATGGGTGACCATTAGTTTGTTCCCTGTACAGATGCTTGGATGACCATTAGTTTTTTCCCTGGCCAGTGTACTGATGTATGTAATCATCAGTTTGTTCTCCTGTGTAGACATATGGGTGACCATTAGTTTGTTCCCTGTACAGATGCTTGGATGACCATTAGTTTGTTCCCTGGCCAGTGTACTGATGTATCTAAAAATTAGTTTATTCCCTGGCCAGTGTACAGATGTATGTAATCATCAGTTTGTTTTCCTGTACAGACGCATGGGTGACCATTAGTTTGTTCCCTGTACAGATGTATGGGTGACCATTAGTTTGTTCCCTGTACAGATGCTTGGATGACCATTAGTTTTTTCCCTGGCCAGTGTACAGATGTATCTAAAATTAGTTTGTTCCCTGGCCAGTGTACAGATGTATGTAATCATCAGTTTGTTCTCCTGTACAGACGCATGGGTGACCATTAGTTTGTTCCCTGTACAGATGTATGGGTGACCATTAGTTTGTTCCCTGTACAGATGTATGGGTGACCGTTAGTTTGTTCCCTGGCCAGTGTACAGATGTATCTAAAAATTAGTTTTTTCCCTGGCCAGTGTACAGATGTATGTAATCATCAGTTTTTTCTCCTGTACAGACGCATGGGTGAACATTCTCCTGTCCAACGTCGGCAAGTTTGGTGCTACGGGTGGTTTCGCCACGATGTTCGTGTTCTCGGCTGAGCTGTACCCGACGTCGCTACGGAACAGTGTGGTGGGAACAAGTTCCATGGTGGCCAGAGTTGGCGGCATGATATCTCCATACATAGCAGACCTGGTGAGATATGACGTCTGTAACTAGCAGACCTGGTGAGATATGATGTCTGTAACTAGCAGACCTGGTGAGATATTTTAGATGTAAATAGCAGACATGGTGAGATAGTACATCTGTAGACATCACACTAGGTAAGACATAACATCTGTTCATAGCAGACCTGTTAAGACATGATATATGTGCACGTAAAAGGCTTGGTAGGACATGATATTTCCATACATAGAACCTGTCGACATAATAATCTCCATAGATAGCAGACTTGGTCAAAGCGTAATGCAGTTCATATACTCAATTCCAAAACTGAAATATCATCTGCATCCGCTAGCGAATGGGTCGAACACAAATCAATCAGCCCGACTGACTTAATCGAACGACTAATAAATTGTTTGTTTTCAGCGTATCAATGTTCATTGTTATAATTCTTTTCTGGCCATTCGTTATACTCCTCCATTTCCGTCATCCATCATATCTTTAGTTTTTTGAGTCTTCTCATCCCGTCACCAGGGTATACTCCTCGGCGGTCCGTTCGGCGCAGCGGTCCCATTCATTGTGTTCGGCACATGCGGTGTGGTTGCAGGACTGCTGACTCTCTTCCTGCCAGAAACTTTGAACCAAACTTTGCCGGAGACCGTCCAGGAAGCGATAGACTTCGGAAGGTAAAATCAAGTACTTTTATTCATGTGCATTACTGCAGAGCCGTTCTTAGGAGCTTTGNGGGGGGGGTTGTCCGGGGGGGGGCGGAACTCCCTCGAGCTGAGGAGAAAACACCACCCACCACTGGAGACGGCTGCAGTGCCAGTTTAAAAAAGTACCGGGGGCTAGAGGGCGCCTCAAGGGGACCCCCTCACGCTCGGAGCCCTACGCGGATGCGTAGCCAGCGTATATATGCCTAAGAACGGGCCTGATTACTGCTTAACATCACATACATTATGATTAGATAAATATTTCGTCAATTAAACTTTTATATCATTTGAAGAAAAAAATAATATTTTTTTTGAAATTGTAGGGTCGCTTACTTTATAGATATTTCTGTAGCGTTGTATGGCGGATGAAGACATCAGGTGTTAGCAAATATTTTTCAGCTTCTCCCCACTTGTTGATGTAAAAATGATGACCTCCTCCTCAATGTTAAAATCCCAAACGCTATTCGCACGGAATCAAGGCTTCGCGTGATCTATTATCCTTATGATATCCTAGTGGCTATGTGAGGGGCTGGTAGCCAGTTGATAACTTATTGAACGAAAAACAAAATACTTTAAAAAAAAAATAAGACAGTAATTAAGTCTGCGAGCTCTAACCACGGAAAATGAGATTGTCATCGGTATGTTCGATGCGAGCACATTCCTTTTGTTCCGTGATATTATTATGTCATACGTCTGGAGTCACCGATTGGAATGAAATTAGATAACATTTCGTTATTGATCCAAATGAATGGAAATGCTTTCTTGATAACAGTGCACGTATTAATTTTGAGCACATCAATAAATGAGCACGTATCTAAAGAAAGATAACATGCTACAACTATAACGATTTAAACACAAGACACCCAAAGTATTTCTCAAGCGCAGAAGGCAGCCATAGATGAATTCCTTTAGAGACAACAATGAATTAATTAGTGATCATTTAGATTTGGTAACCGCTGAAGTGTGTGTGGGGGGTGGGAAGCACGTTGGTAAATTGTTACGGAATAGGGAACATGATAATTGTTATATCTTTGGTACTAACTTTAAGAGAAAGAATTCGGCCTTGATCAAGGCCGATCTTAGGTATCTGTGATGATGCAGGTGGTAGGTGATCTTAGGTATCTGTGATGAAGGGGGTGGTAAGTGATCTTAGGTATCTATGATGAAGTGGGTGGGATGTGATCTTAGTTATCTGTGAAGAATTGGGGGGGGGGGTACCATCAGTGCAATTGACCCAAACCTCCAAGGGCTGATCTCACACTCTGCGAGAACGAGGGCTGAAAACAGTTTGGCACCCCCAGGGCGGCACTAACCCTAGCTACGCCACTACTCTGCACCAACCCTAGCTACGCCACTGCTCTGCACCAACTCTAGCTACGCCACTGCTCTGCACCAACCCTAGCTATGCCACTGCTCTGCACAAACCCTAGCTACGCCCCTGCTCTGCACCAACCCTAGCTACACCACTGCCCTGCACCAACCCTAGCTACGCCACTGCTCTGCACCAACTCTAGCTACGCCACTGGTCTGCAACAACCCTAGCTACGCCACTGCTCTGCACCGACCCTGGGACCGCCACTGCTCTGCACCATCCCTAGCTACGTCACAGCTCTGCGCCATTCGTACGCAACCAAGAAAGCATCGTGGTAATGATTATATTGGAGAAACTATTTTATTTGTCTCCATAAAACACCAATTTCTCGAAGTATGTATGTCTGGAAATAACGTTGTAAGATGGCGCGGCACGCGTGCTCTGTCCTGGCGGGGCGATCGTACAGAAGAAGTGCCTTTTCCTCCCTTGACGTTATATTTATGCCTGTTACCCTAGTCCAGCTACTGACCACATATTGACTCAAATGTCAACACCGTGAGTGCCCCTGCCCACGCAGCTTAATGATAAATGGCTGGAAACTCAAGCCGAATTAAGCCTCTTCAGGACTGGATGGTACATCCCACAGCGCCCGCTGTTTAACATCATAACTTATTTACGCTCATCTCATTGCTGCAGCGCGGGAGCTTGGTCGGAAAAGTCCCGATGAAATATTCAACGCACTGTCGTCGTGTGTAGTTGTAGGTCGTGGGTAGGGATTTCACATAAACGTATACCACTTATTGGGAAGATACTATTTCTTTTTTTTTTTTTCTTTCCAGAATTAAAATAACAAAAGTCACCGAGATTGCAGCGCCAGAAGAAAACGGGGATTCCCGGAGTATCGGTGGAAGTGCCATCAGTAATCGAGTACACTGGTTAAACAAGGTATCGACCACCAATCAAGGATATTTGAATACAACATTTTTGGTGGAAAAGCTTTAAAATATTTATATTTTTATAATAGTAGGGATCTTTAGATGTTGTAGAAACCAATTAAGGTGTTTTCTAAAAAAAAATATGACTGTGTTTTATTGACTGTGTTTTATTGACTGTGTTTTATTGACTGTTTTATTGAAAATAAATGAATACTATTTTTAAATACGCATTTTATTTGATATTTTTTAAAATAATTTTCTATTTTAATGAAATCGGTGACAAAACCCTAGCAATACCATAACAACATCAACACAGATAGTCCAGGTGGATGTTGACTGGTCAACACTGAGATCGTGAACTCAGACTGAGAAATCCGGAGGTGAAGTCCCGGAGTCAGTCTGACACTAAACTCAAGAACTCTTTGAGATACCGGAAGAAGCCTGCGTTGATGATGGTGCAAACCCGTGCCGATTCCTTGGCGTTCCCGAAACTCTTCTAGCTGCTCGGAGGCTGGTAACATGCTGCTAGAGAAACTGTTTTATTCTCCACAAAAACTTAGCAGATTATCATTGAGAGCTTTTCAGTGACGCAACACCATCTTATCCTGGAGTCGTCGGGCAGATGCCCCAGCCACCCCCCCCCCCAAAAAAAAAAAAAAAAAAAAAAAATAAATTTATATAAAATTATAAATTATTTTCTCAATTTATGTCAACCTACAGAACTACCAGCAGTTTACATCGTTGTGTCCGCGAAGGACTACAATAAAGCAAAATAGTTTGGCTACATTACAC